AACAACATTCAACCAAACGGCATATTAATTTTCAAAATTTATGATTTTAACGCATCGTTAGTAAAAAAAATCAATAATGTCACGTTAATCGAACAACGTAATAATTTAACCCATAAGTACATAAGTAATTCTGCATAAATCTACTCCCAACGAACATTCACAAGAATATATATGGGCCATTCCATACAATATTTACACCCCAATGTTTTTTTTTTTTTTTTTGGGTGAAATATATTATTTTAAATTCTTTATCGAAAAAAGCAGACACCTATCTTTTTATTTCGTCTTGACAATCGAAAAACTCGGAAAAAAATGCCGAAATTTTGAGCTCAAAGAGAAGTCTGTTTTTTAAATTTTTTACAGTTAATAAACTATTTGTCGGAGAAAATCAGTTAAGGCGTAATTACCTCGGCTTTTCATGATAGCGTGAAATAGATTAAAAAAAATAATTTTTGGATCAAAAAGTCGCTTTTATTAATTTTTCTTTTTATTAATGATACCATGTTTGATTTTTTTGCAAATCTGAATAGTTGTCAAACTTTGTGGAGTACACTGTAAAAGTTTGAGAATGAAAACATCAAAACTGCACCCAGAGATGGCACACTCGACATTTTACTAGAAATTTATAAGAAACCTCTTATCAAATATGAAAAAATAAAACTGCGATTGCGGAGTAATAAACGATTTTAATAAATGAAGTGAAATTTCACAACTATTCAGGTTGCAAAAAAAATATTAAACATGGTATAATTAATAAAAAAGTTTAAAAATAAAAATTTTTATTGCAAAAGATTTTTTTTTTGAATCTATCTCAAATTTTTATACCTTAACTGATTTTCTCCGACAAATAGTTTATTAAAAAGTTTAAAAAATATACCTCTCTTTGAGAGCAAAATTTCGCGAATTTTTTCTCGAGAATTTCGAATATCATGACGAAATAAAAAATTAAGTATCTTCTTTATTTCGATAAAGAATGTAAAGAATATGTATATTTCACTCCAAAAATATAAAGAGGTGTAAATATTGTATGGAATGACCCATAATGTATGTATATTAATAATGCGGCCCATAAGTATGCAAGTGTGTGACCAAAAAATTAAAATGTCATAAAAATATGACAATAATAAAATTGAGTGTTAAACAGCCGCATAAATTTTCAATGATGGTATTCTTACGTGTCTATAAACCCGGTTGTTTCAAAACGAAAATAAAATTAAAGATTTTCACTGCAAAGTGCTTTAACTACCGCGTCATCAAATGTAGTTTTAAAATATTTATCAAGAAATGCAAACGTTCAGCGAGTTGTTTTTGAAGCTCTTTCTTTAGCAAACTTAATATTAGCCAATAGTAAAGCTGCTTGTTTAGCGTGAATACCCTCATTTGCTGCAACAGTGCGTAACTTCGCACTGTAGTTAACAACTCTGGTACGTGTTGGGAATAATGCATGAAAATGCTGTTGAAATTCCTGTGTACGTACGTGTATTAAGGGTTACGCGGAAAAAAAAATGCAAGAATTAAATTAAATATTTTGTGGCAAGTAAAAATGTACACACTATGCAACTGTGGTTGGTGGCATGTCAATGGCAAATACTTTTTAAATTAAATTTATAACGGTAGCTATTTTTCACTGTATGTTTATGGCCGACGTTTATTTATGTAATGGAATCGAAGAGCGGCGAAGGAAGTGCGGCTAGGAGAAATGAAATCATAAATAACTTAAAAATGAGGTTCTACATTTTTCTTGTGGAAATGTAAAAATGTATGTATGTATGTAGTTTTAAATTTTATTTAATTAGGTGAATTCTAATATAAAAAAAAAAAAACAAACCAACAACCCTCCAGATTTCAAAAAATTTCAATGTTCAAAGCCAATTCATCCATTAAACAAATACGAAAACTAAAGAAACATAAAATTAACTTCATTGTCGCTATCTTAAATCAGATGATCTAAATGCGTATAAATTTAATTGAGACACAAACTGACTAATTGAATTATCATACAAATCACAGGCAATAAACTACAGTGGATGACTTTATTAAAACGAAACCAAGAAAACATTTTAAGAGGTAACACAAAAAACGCTGTAGTAAGGGCAAAGAGATGCACCAAACTCAGTGGAGCATTGTATAATGTATGAACTCTAATATAACCAGACAAGCCTCAGCAAACTCTTACTGTCCTCTTTAGATAAAAAAAAACGTGGTTAAAGCTAGGCAAGGTTATTGAAAGAAATCCCATACTGCCTTTTCCATAGTGTTGACAAAGCTGACATACATACGTACATACAAAACATATGTCTGTATAAATATGTAGATGTCAAAACACAAATAAAAATAAAAATCTCACAACTGCAAGAAAATACCAGTAACGTGTGTTGACCCTTCTTACAACACCGGTCTGACGATTGAGGCGTACATGGGTTGGTATAAAAGACAAAAAACAAAAAAAAAAACAAAAAAACAAAAAACGTTTTATCACTTACAAACAGCCAAGGCGTTTCAAGCTTAAATATGCAGTTGAAGGCAGTTCTACTGCATAGAGTTAAGGTTGTTCTTTTCGTGCGATTTTTCAACACACATAATACTTTGAATATACAATATATATAGAATTTTTATAAACATTTCCCATTATGTATTTATTAACCCAAAACACTTATATGCGACAATACTCAAATCGGCTATAAAATCGGAGAAATCGAATAGTTACTACGATCCTTTCGCCTTAACCTTTAACTATGGAGGTGAATTTTTTGGACATAGTCAGATCTGGTGGTAAATTTTACCCCCTCGAATTTTAGTTAGAAATTTGAATACAAATTAGCCATTTTATAATTAGTTTTTCTTTTAAACTAAGCTACTAGATTTTCAAGTTAAAATAAATAAAAAATTTTATTTTTTCTTTTAAAATCAACAAAAGTCCCACTTTATTTCACAAGGCTTTTATTATTCACAAGAACGAAAACATCACATAGTAAACGTATAAAAAAGTGTAAAATAAAAATGCATCTTTTTATAGCAAAAAATATATATATAAAAAGAAATACAAGAGATCATATTAAAAAAAAAATGTAATCGTAAAAAATACAGGTCAACCTTCCTTGAAAGAAAAAGTTGCATAAACGTTGAGGAGTGGTAATTTTTACACCAGCATCAGCATTTCTCCGCCCACGCTACACCTTCCACAGAAAAAAACATACATAACTGATCAATAACGACAACGAAATGAGAAGATGCTGAGAGAATCAAGTTGCTGGAGCGCAACATAGGAGAGTAATTCAAAAAAATTTAAAGAGGGGGGTAAATTTTACCACCACCTCCACAGTTAAAGGTTAAAAAATAAAAAAAAATAAAAAAAACCAAATAATATCCACTTGGCCCCAGTGAAATATGTATGCATTGGTTTCCGAAGACATTTTTTATTTCTAACTTCAAAATACCTTAAATTTGACACATCTCCACAGGTTGGAACGAAAAGAGGCAGTGCAAGTTTTCGAGATATAAGCAAAAGTCATGTTTTCTAGAACCTTTCGGTCCTGTTGCTAGAAATCTACAGGAATCATAAACATTTCGGCCAGAAAACTCTATATGCGCAGCGGCACCTAACGGAAGCTGTTTTTCATGGCAGAAATACACTCGGAGGTTTGCCATTGCCTGCCGAGGGCCGACTGCTGTTAAGAAAAAACCTTTTTTTCTATATTTTTGCGATGTTGCTTTGACCAGGGTTTGAACCCTGGTGCTGAGGAGTAGAAGCACGCACTGCTTACCGCTACACCACAGCGGCCGACGTATAATATTTATACATATAACTAATATATCGTCTAACTATAAACTAAATCGAAACATAAGCTGCATTTTTACGAGATATTTCGACGTCCACCTACCAGCAAATCTTTTAGTGGATAAATACGGATTCTCCAAATACATACATATCTCGATTCCTGCGCCACCTATCGGAAAAACTTTTTTGGAGTTATTCCTTTAAGTAGGAAATATACGTACAGTCTAAACATAAACTAAATCAGTACCATAGATCCTGGTTTTAGAAACATGTATATCGACCACGCGCCACCTACCGCATACATTATTTGCGGAATTATTTCTTTTCACGTAAGTAATATTTATTTCAAATATGAACCACATCAGATCGTGAATACGGGGTTTTCACCTATTATTTCGACGCCTAAGTCGCCTAGTGAATTAATCCACCATTAATATCGCATTGTCATCGCGTTGTGAACTAAGTTAGAAATTTCAAGTATCTAGCTCTTCGGAAGCTGGTTAAAAATTGATTGCAAAATTTGATTTACTTAAGCAACGAAATTTACATGCAATTCACTGTCTCTTTATTTAGGAGTTCATTGCTATTCTTGCCATAAGGCTAATATTTGGGTCTCCACTTTACAGAAATTGTGGTGGATAATCACAAGGGAATTTTTTACGCAAACTTTTAAACAAAACACACTTGGTCTGACACGCCAGGTTACTGAATGAATTAATAAAAAGTTGTTCACAAAATAGATATGTAAATGAGTTAACAAATAAATGAGTTTCATTTTAGGCGCGTCGTTGATAGATCTTCTTGGTAATTTTTTTTTTAATGATTGAGAAAATATTTAAGAAACTCATAATCATAAGAAAATTCAGAACCACCCCAGACGCTTGTGAAAAAAGGCAGTTTCCTAGTTCTTATACACTTCTTTTCCTTTGTTTTAGTACGATATTAAAAATTCTCTGCCCCACTAGCCAATAACATAACAATACGATCTTTTTTTATCTTTACTTTTTTCCAGTTTTTTGTGTGTGTTGGCCACATGCGACGTTGAATTTTGCGGGCCATACGGGCTGAATGTCTTAGCCAACATTTTTTCGCCAATGAATTTTTGCTAAAATTTAGATAAAGAGAAAGAACTAAAAATAGATTGCACTTTGACATTTAGAGCAACTTTATTGAATTATGCAGTATTTTTTTTTTTTTTTAATTTGTGCATTTTTGATAAAAACTAATTCATAATAGATAAAAATAATTCCATTTGTGCAGCTTCTACGCCATCAAACACAAAGTCGGTTTGAAATGCATAGTCACCATGAGGAAAAGGTATCCAGCGGAAATCGATATCAGTGAAATGTAATTTTTCAACAATCAAATCGTGCTAAAAATTAGAAGAAATATACTAATAAAAAAATGACAAAATATTAACAATATAAACACTTGGTGTTTACATACGTCATACGGGCAAGTGTGATTCATATTCGACGATTTTTCAAGGACATTCATTAATGCATTCAATATGAAGTTATTGCGTTTCTGCAGATAACTGCAAGCATCCACTTTCATATCCCGCATAAAAGGCTTATAACCATTCGTTCGCTTTAGGAATTTTACGTTGATCTACGAAAAGTTAATTATTAATGCGAATTGTGGTAGGGAAAAAATTTTTAAATTTATTGAAAGTTTAACTAACATACCATGGCTTTTCTGATTGGCCTCTTCAGCACACACAATTTGAAGGAAACTTCTTTGAAATCTCGCCGAACAGCTTTAATATGGCAGTAATCAATTTGAATTATGCTCGTGTTGCGACTTTGACAACGGATATTGTTTAAGCGAATAGTGGGCGTGACTTGCTGGGTGGGAGTAAAACAAATTTAGAGAAAAATTTTAATGTGACTACGGTCCTTGTATGAAACAAAACTGCAGCCTGGATTTTTATACAAATTTTTTTTTGTGAAAACAACGCTTTATCAAATTCACCAAATTAATAATTTTTCTCATGAAAAAATTTTTAAAAGTGTTTTTTTTTTAATTTCCTTTTAACGCTAAAATTTTTTCACACAGCAACTGTTTTTTTACTTGTATTTACTTTTATGACTGTTAAAACGCTCAGCAACTGCAGCCCAATCGTTAAATAAGCGCGCGCTTTTCTTAGTGACATTGATCGAACTATTTCGTAATACAAATCTGGTAACGGTTGGAGCGCTCTTCTCATACAAAGTATATTAATCCGACATTAATGTTCTATGCTTATTCAGTAAAAAAAGGGTGTTTATTCAAAAATCGAATTTAAATACTTCAAAAGATGCTTGCAAATTTAAACACAACTGGATGATTTGATAAAGTAGAGGGCTTTATTCGCTTGATTCTTTTCGGGTTGTTCTAGTTATCAACTGACTATCAGACCCTTTTAGACTCGAAAAGCCATTCAAGTCCTTTCGCTATAAAAAAAGATTAAAGAAATTGTTGTTAAATTGCTTCTGGAATATCTTTCGGATGAAAAGAGTTTTATTATAATATTTGCAAATTTGCGTATTTTAAATTTTATAGGTTACCCATCTACATAAATACTAAAGAATACTGTAAGGTAAACTAGTAAACGGCAGGAGGCCCAGCCTTATAAAACTAACATAAAATGTAACCTCTGTTTATTTGTGCAGAGGGGATTGGTTTCATCCATTTATTTAATTTTGGTTCCTCGGATCACCCTGTATCATTTTAGATTCCTCTCCAATAGCGCGGAAAATTTATTGTTTGCTAATAAAAGCAAGTGAATTACTAATGACAGCAATATTGAAACGAACAAATTTTAATTACATTCACGGTTTCAAGCTCAATAAATATATTTGATATAAATAATGTTCAATGAACTTTTGAGTGCACTTTAATAGTTTCTGTTTAAAATCCATTAAACAATTAAAATGTCTTCATTTACTACAACGTATCATTTTAATCTTTGTAAAATAAATTGGTTATTATTTTTATTATCGTTTAGAGCATTTAATTTACATACGTAACTGCTACATGTACTTATTTATTTCGATTTTTTTTTGTAATTTTTTCATTAGTTTCGCTCAATAGTGGAACTGCGAAAGCAAGCCTTAGTAAGTAAGGTTATGTTAAAACTAATATGGGTGTGCCATACTAGAGATGTTGCGAATGCGGATGCGGATGTCAAGTACTTTAAAGAAATACAAGTAATTTAGGTAAAACGGACATCTCCAAAGAGGTCGAATGCCTATCAGTTATCCTGGATGACAGACTCTCATGGAATCCGCACCTATATGAAACTATTCAAAGGCCAGATCCCCTCTATCTGGACCTGCCAAACAATCATCTATCAACAAACCCATTCCAACTTATACTGTACCCGTCTGGGGAAGAAGGCAGAAGTCAAAACACCAAGGGCTGTATTGTTTACCGCAAAGCTCATCTTAGGGGCATTGGAGGGACTGACAGACTGACAGCATGGGACAAGGTAATTGTCTCTCAGGTCGAGGTTCACGCCGTCAAACTTTGTCTGAGGCAGTATGTAAAGAGTGGGACAACCAAAACCAACATCACTCGGACAGCAGGGCGGCGCGCCTCGTTCTTAAAGTGCACGAGGTCACCTCAACGCTGGTGTGGGACTGTCTTCAGCTTTAAATACTTATCGCCTCCAGGAATCGAGTATACCTCATATGGGTACCGGGACACAGTGGAGTTATGGGCAATGAAGTGGCAGATATTCTCGCCATAAAAGGGGCTGCAGAGGGATTCATAGGCGCAGGACCCATTACCGGTCTGCCATGGAGCTCCGTTAGGAGAAAGTACTATATCTGGATGAAGAATTAACCGCACCATTACTGGACAAATACGGAAGTCGTGGTGTCTAGGTGACCTGATCCCTTCTCTTAATCTAATCTAGAGGGGGAAAAAAATTGTTTTAGATTCCTATAATTCAATTAGAGATATTTTTAGAATACATTTTTTGATACAATGCTTATTTATTTGCTTAATATAAAACATCTTAACCGATGGTTATTTTCGTACAAATTTTAAGTATTTTATTTATGTGAATGAATCGTAAAACAGTTGAGCCACAACACTTCTTATAAATATTTAACACCAAATCCCTATTAATATGTATTTATGTGTGTAACTTTTTCGCGCTCCTCGCACACACGGGACCTCGCAAAGTTTTCCTTTTTCTTCCTAATACATTCCGAAAGAACTTTCTACAAAATGCCTCCACTCGCCCCTCAAAGGTATGTGAATAAATTATCCACCGAGCTTATGGCATTTTCACGCCAACCCAACGCAATGTAGACCAACTTCTTCAACTCCTTCTGCGGCCAGCCCACCTTCTGCTGGACACGCCTCAAATACTGACTATCTGGATGTTGCTGCACCAGCTTAAAGATTGCTGCAAATTCGTAGCCGAGCGCTACTTGCACAGTCCGTATTAGATACCAATCGGTAGCCAATAAACGCTCGAATAAGTTGCGCAATTGCTGACGCGGCAATACGTCGCGTATGTCCTCTAGTAGCCCACGCAGACCTGGTCGACCTTGAGGCAGCACAGTGTTAATTGACGGAGACTCCTTCAAAGCCGACAACGGAAGTAAATTGCTTTTAAAATCATTATACAAACGCAGATCGCAATTCATTTTATAGCAAGTAAAACTACGAAAAGCCCTATACTCGCGCGACCTAGTCAAATTTGTGGAGCGCTGACGATATTCGGGCGTCTGGACCAGCTTATAGAAAGCTTGCACTTCCGGATCTTTAGCGGCGGCACGCACAATGTTTCGTATGCGCTCGAGTGGCAACAGCGCCTTGGCCTGCTTGAAGAGATTGTGAATGCCTAGGCCGTTGGGCGCATCGCAGGCCCGGAGATTAGCTAGAGAAAAGAAAGTTGGTTATGATGCTTTCAAATTTCACCCAAACCTGCAAATTACTTACACTGCGGTTTTAGGGGAAATAGCGGTAATGTAGGATTTGGATATACAATGCCAAACGGATTTCGTTGTATGTTTCCCAAATCAATCGGCTTTTGTTCGGTATCCCCAACGGACTGCCCATTGATTTCTGGCTTTGGCGTAGAAACTTCAACGGAGTCTTGTACTGCTAAGACTCCACCAATCAGCAGTAGAGTGCTGACCAACACAAGCTTCATTTTTAATTAAGGATGATTTTCTTTTGCGTGTGGGTGGTAGCGTCGTTTTAACTCTTCTTATTTTGAGAACCGCAAGTGCACTGACTTCATTTCATTTTCGCACGCTTTTTATATGATTCATATTTTTGAGGTCACTGCAGACTTAACAATTGTTGACTTAATTTTAGTCATTTTTTGATCATTAATTATGTATTTGATAAGAATTCTAGGTGATTAAATTTTTATGTAGATGAAGTTAATATTTTTTAAATAAATAAGAAAGGCAACAAGCTGTGCCCTAGTTTTCCTGGTGATATATTTACGGCTTACACAATTTCAGGATTTGAAGAAGCTAAGAAGCTAGACAAGGCTAACATGTACTTTACAAAGGTTGAGTGTAACATCAAACATATTTTGCACCATGGAAAAACAACATATTTTTGAGACAAACGAAATCACCTTCACGCCTACTGAAAAATTACTTTTTGTCGCTTACGCCCTTTTAGCGACATTTTTTTTCCAAAATTCTCTTTTTCATACAGAAATTAATCTACATGCTCTAGCAGGATTTCTGCATCGAAAACCAAATTTGGGGAAAAAAAGTCGCTAATTATTTTCTCGGTTGGAGTTCGACATGCTCCCACATCGTTTTATGCAAAAAAAAATAAAGTTGTTAATTACTACTTTTTGCGTTTCAGCTGACGATATGTGTGTACATTAGGGCGGTTCGAAAAAAATATAAAATGTTTGATATGAAAATTGTATAGGTCTTAAATGGTGCTATTTTAATCGCTTATTCTAGAAAAGAAATCCTGGTTATCTGCGACATTATCTTCAGTCTGCGGAACGAGCTCGACAAATTTAAATAATAGTGGGAATACCAAATTTAATTTAATTATGTAGGTAATAAAGATTAATTGATTAAAATATTGCTGTTACTTACTTTTAATTTGCACAATTTATTTTTTTAGCACCTTTCAAGACCTATATAATTTTCGTATCAAACATTTTGTGTTTTCAACCCGCACTAATATACAAACTAGCAACTCTAGAATATTTCCAGTGCAACGTGTGTGCCACTTATCAGGAATTTTTTTGTTTCTTTTTGCCCATAGCATAGCAAAACAAAAGACAAATTAAGATAGTAATGCAAATTTTATTTAAAAAAAAAAGAATACCAAAAGCGAGTAGGAAAATTCGCCTTTGTAGTTTTTCCAATGTAAAAAATCGAATTAAAGTTAATGCGCCAGCAGAAGCAAAAAAAAAAAACTTACCCGCAGCGAATAAATAAATAAAAATAAACTAAGTACAAAGAATACATACACACATATGTATATGTAAATACGTATCTATGTATGTACTTTGTATTAATTTATGTACTCACGAGTATTGGGTAAAGGGACATTTAGTTGTGGTAGGCAATAAAGCAGATCGATAACAAGCACAACAATAGCTCCATGAAAAACGACAAAGGCGATCCATAGAAAAAAAAAAAAAAAAACTATTTTTAGGTTAAGCCCAGGGCAAATGTAGGAATGAACAGTTCTACTCCGGCTCCGATCGGCTGATGGTTTTTATGGGAAGGAGTGGCCGCTTTTAGGAAACCAAAATTTATTGAATATTGCTTGGGCCAGATATCGCACCTGGATCCCACCTGGACAGACAAACCTAACTACATTTGCACTCTCGAGTATATTCGAATGGTCGATTAGTACCCCTTGCCTGAAGCGGAATGAAGCTAATTGGAAAGAAGGAAATCGATAACTTATGTCAGGCCCAAAGAGAATAATCGACGGTTTCGAATGCGGAAATAAAATGCAGAGCCGAATCTTTACACTTATTGCGAGCGTATAGTAATTTTTTAGCCAAATTTTAAGTCAGTTCTTATATGTACATATTTATGTATATAATTTACCCAACAGGCACATAACAAATGCTTTTCCAGCTATGGATAAATTCATTATTCTTCAATGGGTAGCTTCAATTCGGGAAAATGTTGAGAAACAGCTATTTTCTATAAAAAA